ATATATATATATATATATATATATATATATATATATATATATATAGATATGTATGTATGTATGTATTAATTATATGATTATATGATTTTCCAAGTCACCACATAATATATAAAAGCATATAAGGGATTTCAATAATGAATTTTGATATATTCAACAATAATGCAATTAACATAATGTTCTCTTTTTACAGATCGTACTTAAGAGGATAACAATAAATTGAAAAAATAATGTTTGATAAACACATAACAGATGCTCCAGTAAGTGTCTCTTATATCAATAATTGAATAGTTGCTTGCATGTTTATTCGATCAACGACAATAATCAATATTTATTAATCTACACAAACAAGCAAACAGTCAAATTTGATGATCTGCATCTTTCTCTACGTAAAATAACAATTTTTCCATTCAGTAAAATTGAGTTATTTAGTTATATAAAGGTACGATAATTATGGATATGATATACTCCAAATAGCATTTTCGACATACATTGACTTCGTTCTTTGAGCTTATCAAGCACGCTTGGAGGCTTATGCTAATGCTGATCCCTCCAATCAACTAACTATTGGTTTTGGTTTCAATGATCAAAAAGTTCTTAATTTGATGTCAATACCAAAGAACGGCCTCGAGGAGAAAAAAAGTTCGAAGACAATCAATTGCCCGACATAGTGGAAATGGAGCTCGAAAATCAAACTCATCGCGAAATCACAAAGAAATTTCGAACAGCTTAGCTGTTTATGAATCAATTGTTTCTAGACGTTTACCTGCAATCGGAAAGATCCAAAATGAGATAAAATGGCTATCATACGCATTGATTGAATCATCGTTTCAACATCGCCGTTTCACTGCTTGCCAAGCAAAAAAGAAGGGAGATATGAAAAGCGGATCTATTACGATAATCCCAAGCGTCAAATTTCATGGTTTACTTCAAGAGAACCATTCACATCGACACCGAAGCGGAAGATTCATGATCATAACGGTTTGCTGTTTCATATGGTGCAACGGGCTCAACAAAATGTAGTGTATTACGAGCTGCTTAAACCGAATGAAACTGTTAGAGCACACTGTCTACCAATGGCAGTTGCACAAAACGAACGATGGAGAAAAGACAAGCAATAGCGGGTAACAGAGGCAAAGTCAACGTTTTACATGCGACAAAGCTCGGTGAAGCGTTGCAAGAGTTTTCAACGATACACTGCTCGAATGCATTGTCGAATGGGAAGTTCTGCCGCACCTAACGTTCTCAGCAGACTTTTAGAGGCTACTGGCTAATACTTGCACAGATCGATCCAGCATGGCTTGGCTGGTATGTGGTTTCGAAATACCGAACAAGTGCGAAAATGGATCAATGATTGGATCGCTGCCAAGCAAATATCGTCCTTTCGACACGTTATCGTAATGTTGCCAGAAAGATGGGGAAAAACTTGTAGAAAATGATGAAAAATATTTTGATGAATATATACATATATTGGGCCAATTTTTCTCAATGCGTTTTCCCCAAGTGAAAATTGATCAAAATACATGCAAGCACTTAATAATTAACAAATCAACTAACTATGTGAAAATGAGTGAGGAGACCGACCAACTACAACTGGCAAGATTAAAAAAATTTAAAAAAAAGAAAAAAAAAGAAGGTTAACAAATGTAGTTTACCGTCAATAGAACTGGATTAAAATCTCTGGGTGGTCTGTCGTCATCCAATAATTCAACTTCAATCATATCCACACTATTATAGGCCGGTTTTAATATATAGCCCTGGAACTATTATTTAAAAAAAAAAAAAACAAAAAAAAAAAAAAAGCAAAAAAGAAAACAAAACGAATAACATACAAATTTAATTAGAGATAAGCGATTTTCTTATGAAATTTGCTTTGTTAAATTTACTTACTATTGGACGAAAGTCTGGATGGAATAATATGTAACCGTTATTGGTTACAATAAATGCATAACCATTGACGCCCAACTGCATATAATTTTATCAATATTATAGGATTATATATTAATACCAATAATTTGAACGAAATGTTTTTTTATTTTTTATTTATTATTATTATTTATTTATTTATTTATTTTTTTTTTTTTTTTGTTTGTTTTGCTTTCTCTTATTTTAATAAAACACACAAACTTACCAAGAACGGTGATAAAATCTTTTTAATATCCCTGATTGGTACATCGGTGCCAGCCACACCCAGTAAATTCGCAATTCTTGTCTATAGAATTTATTGGTCAAAATATAATAATTATTATACATCAATAGACTTATGTTTGTGGGTGTGTAGCAGGTTTGTGTTATTAGCTAAGGATTAATGTTATCAACTCTCTACTTTAAATATATATGTATGTAATAGATAAAGTAAGATATAGATAATAATACTAAATAAAAGGTGTCCTAATATAATATATTATTTTATTATTAATTATATATATATATATATATATATATATTAACTCACAGTAAAATAACGAAATTATTATGAAAGAAATAAAATTGATTACCAAATGTCGATCTTCATCTAAAGGCACCTACATATCTATATTTTAAATTACTTGATATCTATAATACACAATAATAATTATATTATAGTTATATATATATATATATATATATATATGTACATATATATATTGTCTAAAAGTTTGAAAGCGCAAATGCTTTTAAACAAAACAAAACATTGACGACTTTTTATGATAGTTTGAAGGACAATCATCCCATGTTCATCAACTTTTAAGAAATTCTTTGATTTTGAGGGAACACCATACCCTTGTTAAAAAACAAGAAACTGGGGGGGGAAAAAAGAAATTGCACCACAAATTAGCGCAGCTCTAATAGATGCAATAGATGTGGGTCTGCAGGCCGGTCAAAAGAAATGCCTACTATCAAACATGGTAGTCGTGTTATGTAATGTCTCTCTCTCTCTTATGAGGATAACCGAAAAAGCTGAACCTGAAAGGCTATTTGAAAATTCTTCCGCACTCCGACATACCCAGCGAAATGAATCTCAATGATGATAGATTCCACTTTCAACTGAGTAATGATCGTCCTCATAAGCATCCGTTTTGATTGTGCGAGAATTTTCTGAACAAGAAAAGATATGAAAAAAATATTTAAAAATCATGCAATAGCCCAATGCAATCAATCGTCCAAGCTTTCTTCCATTTAACTTGTTTGAAATGAATTCGATAGAAGTGTGAGAAAGTGATTTCCTACAAGCTCAGAAGACAGATGTGCCAATTATTAGAAAGTGGAAATGGAAAAAATTTAGATGAAGATTATTTCAAGCGATTAATTAATAGAAAGCTTAGAATATGCGAGAAGTAAAAGTAAGGAATCATGATGACTTTGTTTTGTTGTTTTATTTGATTTTACTTTGCTGCCTCCAAACTTTTGGAAGCAACTGTGTATCTATTCATATTCGTATACACGTAAATACACGTATATATATATATATATGTGTATTTATATAAATATATGCAAAGGTTTGTATTCCTCAAAAGTATTCCTTTAGAGCGTTAAAAGCGAGGCACCGAGTAAGCAAAGGCTTACTTTACTATTGTTGAATGGGTTTGAAGACATGTTAAAGAACTATTGCGTCTCTTCTGATAGTCACTTTAGATCTATAGCAACAACAAATCATTACAATGAAATGTTGTTTACATAGATTTTAAAGTCAAAGATCTATGCACCTAACAAACAGTAAGAATTGTGTCGAGCAAACAAAAAAAAAATAAATTTGCTTAAGCAAATAACAAGCGAACTGATTATCAGGATCGTTTCTGCTCAGTTGATAAGCACTGCTCTTGATCTGAATGTGAAAACTAATCGGGTATAAACGCAAGCTAGAAGAAGATGCTAAGAAAATTGTCAATGTCGATTATAGCGAATTCCGCAAGCATCTTGGATATGCGATTAATTAATGAATTTATAAAAAAAATAAATAAATAAATAAGACTAACCAAAGAAAGTCGTAAAGGTGTCGGCGAATTTAAAGTAAAGTAATCATTAGGGCGAGAATGTCACTAAGGTAGGCGCAGCAAGGGGCAAAGCACCTAGCTTACCTAGTAGGAAAGAAAAAGAGATAGTATGGGGATTTCAGGGTAGTTCAGGGCACTTTATCAATTGTGGCAACGGTTTTTTTTATATATTTTCTTTATTGGGTATAAGCGCAAATATTTATAAAGATGCGAAATTTCATCATCACTTCTGAATTGCTAGCTAGGAAACAATGCTTAATATAACTTAAGATGTTTAGGAAATCATATATGCACGAAACGAAAAATTCATTATACATATGCATTAATTAGACGTACATTTATACATATATGTATACACACACATATCCATATCTTTATATAAATATACAATTCATGTTCTTATGCATACACATGCAAAGATACATATGAGTATGCTTATATATATATATATATATATATATATATATATATACAAGTCTGTACTATACTGTGTGTGTGTTTGTGTGTATTTATATAAATATACATGTGTATATGCATATATATATATATATATATATATATATATATATATATATTTAGTATATATATCAAATATATATATTTAAAATATTTATAAAGTGTAGGTACATAAGATCTTCCATTTATTATATATAGTATTACTGAATAGCATGTATATAGATATAATAGGTAAATAAACATTCTAGAAACTACCATTAAAAATGAAAACATTATCTACTTCACAAAAAAAATTCCTAATAATACTAAAAAATTTTACTCTATTGCAGGGCCTTTTTTGCATTTAAAACCAAATTTAATGAATATCTTTTAATACCCGGCGCTTATTTCTGTCAACTTGGTAGTACATTTCCTAAGTGCATTTCAAAACCAAGGCTTTTTTTTTTTGGTAATACTTTCGCTGGTAAAATGCATTATAGAATTATTAAAATTCTGCTGGCATTTACTGGCACGGACTAGGTGTCTGCATGGGCATGGTTGTTAGTATAAATAAATCATAAGTTAAAATATATAATTATTTAATGACGGACTGAGCAATAGGCAGGTGTAGTGATCACCTTTGCGAATATCGTAAATTTCTGAACTAACTCGAAATTTATTATGATCTGAACATGATTAGATTGTCATGCTTTTAAAATTAAGACGATCATATACTCTTTGTCTTTCAATCGTGTTTGAAAAAGTCTGGCATTAATAATATTCGCAGTAAAACAATTTAATGTCATGATGACTGAAGAAATCAGTTCGCATCTCCAGTCAATTACGGACATAAGCTAAGGTATTTTAAATTTTTTTTTTCGGAGGCTTTCTTAATCACGTCTAATGCGAATGATTCTAGCATGGCAGCGTTAGAAATCAATAGCAATCGCATTCCTATCTCTATCCTGTCTCGCTTCTTACTACTTTATGCCGCTGACGAAAAAGCGTTTCTGCAACGTATTTAAATCGCTGATACAACAAACCCATCAATAGAAACGTAAGACATATGTCTGCTGCAATGCTGCTGTCAACGAATTTAATCTAATTTTAAGTTAACATAACATGACTCCACCATGACATCTAACACTCTCGATCTCTCTTTCTCTCTCTCTCTCTGTCCGTCTTTCTCTCTCCCTGTCTCTCGCTTTTCAAAGGATAAATTTCAACAATTACGATTAAAATTTATTTTTATAGCTATCAACGAAGGATGAGGGATACATACATTTTGTCAAAACGCTTACAACGTCCAGAAAGAAGAAGCTTCACAGACCACACAAAATATGTATATTTCTC